AAGAGGTAATAGAGGCAAATACTAAGGAGCTCTGGTAGCATAGTGGTTACAAATCGGGCTGTGAACCTAAAGGTCAGCAGTTCGAAACTACCAGCTGTTCCGCGGAAGAAAGATGAGGCTTCAGTTCCCACAAAGATTTCCAGCCACGGAAACCCTGTACAGGGTCACTGTGTGTCGAAATCGACTCGACAGCACTTAACAACAACTGTTAAATAATGGTGCATGAAGGGGATTGTAATCATTGCAATGAAACAAAATACAATTGTGGTTGAGTGCAAAACTGATCTTCTGCCATGTAAACTATCACTCAATTTATATTAAAAGCTTTAAAACAAATTAAAAATTAGCCTACTATATTTGGTCATTTAATTAACTCACCACTAATGTGAAGCTCTTGACCTCAAGATCTGTTTGAACTGCAAGTTAAGTGGTTCCAACTCACTAGCCACTCCTCAGAAACTCTATACAAGTTCGCTAAGAGTTGGAACCAACTCCATGGCACTTAATAACGTGATGGCTGAAACTGCGGCTGCCTTGGCAGGGCCAGACCAAATGATTTCAAGGGCCTTATACGACCTGAGGGCTGGATATTCCCCATCCTTGGCACAGAGGTTCCTAGACAGTGAACACACTGCGTAGGCTCAGAACACTAGATGAAAATAAGCTTTTACAAAGTAAATCAATCATAATCCATTTGCAGACATATGAAAGGTCAATAAAAAAAGGTGCTATATTTTTGTTGCTATTTTTGTGGGGGATTTTTTTCTTCAAAGTTAATTTTAGGAGAATGCTATTTAAAAATAGATGTCAAACACCAATCCCATTTTTCTCTCAGAAAGTAAGTTTAGGTTTCCCAGAACTTGCTGAAAAATATAAAGCAGACCCAATGCAGATTTAAAACAATACAAGCATACCTTGCTTTACTGCACTTTACTTTATTAAACTTCACAGATAGCTGGGCTTTGTTTTGTTGCTTTTTAAAAAATATATAAATTGAAGACTTGTGACAACTCTACAGAAAGTAAGTCTATCAGTGCCATTTTTCCAACAATATTTCCTCACTTCATGTTTCTGTTGTCACATTTGGTAATTCTCAAAAACTTTGTCATAATGTTATTGCAACTTAATAGACTACCAAACCAAATTCACTGCCATCAAGACAATTCTGACACACGGCCACCCTATAAGACAAAGTATAACTATTCCCTATGGTTTCCAAAATATGACCTTGAATTTATCCCACCTGAATTTAGAGATCATCTGAAGAACAGATTTGATGCATTAAATACTAAAGACCGAAGACAAGAAGAGTTGTGGAATGACATCAAGAACATTATACATGAAGAGAGCAAAAGGTCATTAAGAAGACAAGAAAGAAGGAAAAGGTCAAAATGGATGTCAGAGGAGACTCTGA